ATGGCAACAATAATATTGCTGTGTATTATTATGGTGTATACTTAGAACCCCAGAAACCAGCATTCTAACTGCATTTATCCATTAAATATAATCAATAAAATTTTTTTAAATGTTTATTTTCTAATTGTAGTTGTACACAATACCTTTATTTAATTTATTTATATGTGGTGCTGTGGATTGAACCCAGGGCCTCACACATGCTAGGTGAATGCTCTACCACTGAGCCACAACCCCAGCCTCCACGCCCCCTGAAATTTTGTTTTTATTTGAATAATTGGATTATGCAATCATGACAGGAGTTAAGTAAAATATTTAGGAGATTTTTCAATAATACAATACATTGTTATTAAGTCACCATGTTGTACAATAGATCTCTTAAAGCCTTTGCTTTTGAGGAAATATCCTAGAAACTGTTGCCCAGATCAATGTCATGGAGCTTTTTTACTGTATTTTCTTCTGGTAGTTTTATAGTTGCAGGTCTTGTGTTTAAGTCTTTAATTTATTTTAAGTAGATCTAGTTTCATTGTTTTGCATGTGAATATCCAGTTCTCCAGTGTCTCTTACTGCCTCTTATTGAAGAATCTGTTCTTTCCCCCACTATGTATTCTTGGCATCTTTGTTGAAAATCAGTTGATCTTATACCTTAATTTATTTCTGGACTCTCTATCCTGTTTCATTGGTCTATGTGTATTTTTTTTTCCTGGTACCAGGGATTGAACTCAGGGGCACTTGACCACTGAGCCACATCCTCAGCCCTATTTTGTATGTTAGAGACAGGGTCACACTGAGTTGCTTAGCACCTCTCTGCTGCTAAGGCTGGCTTTGAACTCTGCTTCAGCCTACAGAGATGCTGGGATTATAGGCGTGCACCACACACACGGATTGTCTTGAATCTGCTGGTTGCTTTGGTAGTGTTGAGAAAATTTTAACAGTACTAACTGCCAAACTATGACCATACATGTCTTTTTCAATAGCTTTCATCAGTGTTTTATAGTTTTCAGTGCACAGGTCTTTCACCGCCTTCATTAAATCTAAGTATTTTATTTGGGGGGGGTGCTATTTTAAATGACACTGTGTTCTTAATTTTTTTTTTCCTTCAGATAGTTCATTGGTGTATAGAAAGGCTATTGATTTTTGCTATTTTGATCTTCTATCCTGCAAATTTACTGAATTCCTGTGTTTGTTCTAAGATTTTCTGGGTGGAATCTTTAGGGTTTTCTATATACATGACAATATAGTTTGCAGACAGGGAAAATTAAACTTGTTCTTTTACAAAATGGATGTCCTTTATTTCGTTTTCTCATGACCATATTTGTTTCATTTTACAGTTTTGAATTAAATTTCATTTTATCTTCTGTAGATTCAGCCAACAATTGTTCTCTTTTGGTTACCATTGCATGGAAAATCTTTTTCCAACCTTTCATGTTCAAAGTAAGTCCTTTATATTAGGCAGCTTTTTCTTACTGTGACATAATACCTGGGGAAATCAACATAAAGAAAGGAAGATTTATTTTGGCTCATGGTTTCAGAGCTTTCAGTCCATGGTTACTTGATTCCATTGATTCTGGGCCTGTGGTGATGCATAATATCATGGCAAGAAAGTTGTGGCAGAGCGAATCTATTCACCTCATGACAGCTAAGAAGCAGAGAAAGAGGGTGGGGGGGGGAGAAGTGTCTAGAAACAAAAAATGTACCCTTCTAGAGCATATTCCCAGCAATATACTTTTTCCAACTAGGCCCTACCTTCCTTAGTTCCACGACATTCCAACAGTCCATTCAATGATGGACACATCAATAGAGAATCCATTGCTGAGGTCAAAGCCCTCATGATCAAATCACTTTCCCAAAGCCCCACCTCTGAACACTGCTGCATTGAGACCAAACTTTCAGCACATGAGCCTTTGTGGGACATTTCATATCCAAACCATAACATCTCTAAATGTGGATTAGGCAGCACGTTGTATAGTCTTATTTTTTTAAATGAATTCATCTATATGTTTTGATTAATGGATTTAATCCCTTTAAATTCATATTATTGGTAAGTCAGAATCTACCACTGCCATTTTGTTAATTGCTTTCTGGTTGCTTTGTAGATTCTTTCGTTCTTCCTTGTTTTCTTCCTTGATGATTAGAAGTCTCTCTAGTGATATGCTTTATATTGTTATATTTTTTTGTCTTTTGTGGATCTACTGTAGGTCTTTGTTTTGTGGTTATGATGTTTACACGAAATATATCTAAGATGATACAACTTAATTTTGATTGCATAAAACAAAGCTACATTTCCATCCCACTCCCTGTGTGAGTGGGGAAGAAGGGTCCAGAAAAAAAATGTACCCTCTAAAGTATGTTTCCAGCATGCTTCTGATGTCCTAATGTATATCTATTTATATTGTCTATCCTCTAACAAAGTATTGTAGCTACTATTGTTTTTAATAGTTTCAATTTTTAGCCTTTTTGTTAAAAATAGACCTGATATAAGGGATTTACACACTGTCACTATCGTAGTAGAATATTCTGAATTTGACTGTGTGCTTACTTTTACCTGTGAGTTTCACACTTTCACCTATTACACAGAAGCCTTCATTTCTTTCAGCATGAAGAACTCCCTCTAGGGTTTCTTGTCAAACAAGTCTGATGGTGATGACTTTTGACAGATTTTGTCTGGGAAATCTTTTTCTCTCCTTCATTTCTGAAGGACAACTAGAGATATATTTTTCATTGCTTTGTCAAGATCCCCTAAAATATAACAGAAAAGACTTGTGAGATGCATCAGATCTCCTAAAACAAAAATTTGTGGAACAAAATTTGTGGAAAATGTAAGTATCACTTTGTTCAGGAAAGAATCGTCAGCATTCAACCTTATCAGAGGATGCTTAAGTTATTTTTCTACTTTCATAAAAACACTCATAGGCCAGGGTGTGGTGCAGTGGTAAAGGCACTTGCCCAGCATGTAAAAGGCTCTAAATTCAATTCCATCACTCAAAAAACAAAAAACAAAAAAACAACAACGAAACATGATCCATGAAAATTGTTCATATTGAAGTTTATATCAAAACTTAAAATAATTTTATGTGTAGATATAAATATGTAAACCTTATTTATATTTTAAAATTATTCATATTTCAGAAAATATTACTTGTATTTAAAAATTTCTTTTCAATAAGGAAACATAAATTAAATATCTTCAAGAATGACTCAAATTTAACTTTCTCATTTCATTAAAAAACTTATTCACAAGTATTAATTTGGGATTATTGATTTGACTCATTGTGAGTTTATTTGTATCTTATTTTTTGCTTCTTTAACATTCAGCTTGTATTGGTATTGTTTTTTTCATCACATTTATATATTCTGTCTACATTAAGGAATATTGATTTCTTATTTTCTGTCTTTATATATATTAAAATGTAGTTTCAAAATTTAACTTCTATAGCTTATTAAATAAATATTGACTGATATCATCAAGATATATTTGAATGACATAAGTTTTTGAAACACCGTGGTGTGATAAGCTTCTAGGATCAAGGTTTAAAGCTATTGTTCATTGTTCAATTTTGAGGCTTGAAAAAAAAAAGACATTTAAAGAATAACAATTATTCTTTAAACTCATATAGCTTTGTAACTAGAGAGAAAATGAAGGCACTTATCATATTTTTTACCTTTTTATTACCAGAGATTTTAATGACTTATTCACACATTATTTGTTTTTCAATTATTTTTTCTTCAAATCGCTATGATACTTACAACTCAGGGCTGAAATGACTATGAAAATTATTGAAAATATGATCAATTTAATAGTGGAAACAGACACACAAACACATAAATATAATGAAAAAAGGGATGGATTTTGAGATATGATATATAACAAAATGTTATGGTGTCTGAAAAGAAAGTTCTGACTGAAAGTAACAAACAAATAAATGAATAAAGAGAGATCCAAAAGTCAAAACAGAGCTGGTGGCTTCAGGAATGGGTAAGTAAATGTCATAGAATAAAGGATTCCAGGAAGATAGAAACATGTCAGCAAAGTTCTGGAGTGAAGAAAGCACAGGATATGTTCAGGAATTATGAGTGGAAAGTGAACATAAAAAAAAATCCACCAAAAAAAATCCATCCTAAATATCAAACTAAGTAGTATAAATTTTATTCAGGAAAATATTAAAGCAGTGGTTACGAGAAAAGTTTGGTTACTGCCCCTAATTAATATCATCATGTGCTGCAGTGTGTGCACTTGGAACTGAATCAGTTTTAGAACTGATGCATCTTAATCCCTTGGGAGTCATAAATGCCAAGACCAGAGGTCATTATAGCATCTATGGAGCCATAAAATTGGAATTGGAGATATAAAGAAAGACTTTAACTTAAAAAAGAATACCATCACAATTAAGGGGTGTATTAAAGAGAGTAATTGATGGGACATTTGCCAGCTTTGAATTAACTAAATTGAGCCTGAATTTATAAAAGTGCTGGTTGCAGCAAAATGAAACCATCCTTCTCCAGTGCAGTGAGACAGTAATGTTATCCCATTATGATTCATTTCAAATTGGAGCTCTTCCCAACTTTAATTTATTTGGTTGGTTAAGACTGAAATGATGGTTACATTGCTATCGGAAAGACTATCCCTTGGTTTAAGAGAAATGGAAAGTATTTTCTCTGCTTTTACCTGCCTTCTATGTTCTTAGCCTTAGTAGGATTAATTAATCCTGGGATCAAGAAATTAAGCAATAAATTACAAATGTTCAACCCACAGCTTTTGCATTCCAAGTCTTTGCCTTATGCTTATGTGTGTGTTTGAGTGTGTGGGCATGCATAGGAATGCTTGCTTTTAGTGAAATGGGCAAGTATGAGATATATTGATTCAGTTTTTCCTGCCATTGACTATATAACCTGTCACTTCTCCAAGTACTAAATCATGTTGACAGGACCCATTACATTTTATGAATTTTTTTCCTTATCTAGAAGATTCGTAGTTGAAGCACATTTGATTTTAAATGTGAGCTCTGCTGCACTGAAATAACTGCCTTGAGTTGGAAAGTCAGTTTCTCTGCTAGCAGGGAAGAAGATTTTTAACATGAAGATTCTCTCAACCCCTTTTTGCTTTGGACTAACTTTGGTGTCGGTGATGATCTTTTTAGAATCAGTGCATGGATGGCCATATCTCACCCAAGGTATGTGCACATAAATCTAAAATCCTACAAGTGGGTAAGGAATGCTAACCTTCCCCTTTATATCACTTTGATTTTCAAAAAAATCCTTATTACAATGTGGTTGTAAGACAAAAAAATATAATTTAATTGCCAAACCTCCCCTTGAAAAGTTGCTGTTCTGAATCAAATGGAATCTATGATGTTTTCCTTTTAAGCAAAGTAAGTAAAGTAATGTGTACCAAATCAATTTTACTCAACATTGTACTAAATTAATTTCATTTACACTTAATTTTTTTCTAATTGTGTGTCATTTATTTTTTGTGTAACGGTATTGTAGTCAATGACAAATTCAATGCATATTCCTTCTCCATCTTGAAGAAAGGAGATTTTCATTCTTCAAGGTTATTAATGAATTACTTATGAAAGAGAGCATCTCAAGGAAAAGTACAATAAGATAAAAATGTGTTTGCAGGAATTTAAGAATAATAGCGGGGACCATGCTTTTGTAATTATGTCAAAATGAATCCTAATGTTATATGTAACTAAAAAGAACTAATAAGAAAGAAAGAAAAAAGAATTAGTGCATGTGAAACCATAGTACTTTCAGGAGGGCAATGCACCCATATTATGCACTAACTATATTTATCAGATTTCTAGCAAATTTATGACAATAATGATAAATGAAATAATTTATGACATTTGCAATACCATGACAAAATTGATGAAAATAAGTTTCTGCTCTTATCATATCATAATGTGATCTTTCTTTAAAATTTTCAGTGCATTCTATAGTAAAAGTAGCTCTGAAAATAAGTAAGGCTAAATTTTGTGCTGATTTATTAGGCAATCAACCTTATTGAAATGTTTATATATTTCATATATAAAAATATGTATTTTATGTTTTAAAAATAGTGACTTAAAATATAATAATAATGTTCTTCAAATAATATCCCTTCTGGCTTAAATTCTGTTTTTTTTTTTTTTCATCTAACTGATGTCCTTGTCAGGAAGGACCTCCTTTACTCTTTCATAGAGGGAGTCAAGACAGAATGTAATAAATTTTGTCCATGACACCAGATTGAGAAAAGGGATCAAGCTTCCCACATTTGGATCTAATTCAATTTTACAAGAACTTGTTACCTCCAATGTGGTTTTAAAAGTCAAAGAAAATTAGAACAGTCCTTTTGAAAACAGAAATAAATTTGCATGCATCTTTTGATTTATGAGAGTTTTCACTTTGAAAAACAGATAGTAGCAGAAACTTAAATAAAAGTCTGGGAGTCAAAGATTCTGGATTTTATCCATGGCACTCACATCTTATCTTTGTTTATCCAGTTAAAATCATTATACTTGGTAGGTCTCTTTCTGCAAAATACTTAGATTTCTAATATTTTTTAGCACAGTGTAAATGTGAGGGAAAATATGGCCATTTGTTGAGAACTTCACAAAATTAAGTGTAAGTTAGTGATAACTAATTGTAACTTCCAATTTCAGATATATGTAAAATATATTTTAAAAAACTAGTTCTATAGATTTGCTACATTACAAATCAATAATACTCTGACCTTGGAATTCCACACAGTGATTTCCTTAACTCACCAGCAGCATCCTGGGAACATCTATCTCTGACATCCTCTTTGATCTCAGTGTCATCAAATATTAATGAGGAAGATTAAGTTTTCTTATTAATATTATTTTCTGATATAAATTGTTCAAGACTAGAGGGAGCTTCTCTCCCTACACAAATGTCTGAAAGTTACCAAGTATTTCAAGCGAACATTTATCTGCTGATATTGACTATAAAGCTTTCTCTCTATGTGGTAGATAACATCTAAGACAAAGGGCATTCTCCTTCTTGCCTTTATTTCCTGGGGCCATATGAAAGTGTGCCTCAGTAGATAATCCGAAGTGGGAAAAATCCCTTACCACTAAGGTGAAAGAAAGAATGATCAGAACTATGGAAAATTTAATTTTTGTTATATTATCATTTTGAGAGCTTCCAAGTTTCTTTCTGGTAAAATTTCTTGACTCTGTTCAGTTAAAAGCTTCACATGAAAAGCAAGGGGATAACTAAAATTTTGCAGATTTAGTATGTAGAGAGTGGCAATGAGTCAATATTTTCTGTGTATTTGCAAAATCACTCACTCTAGCAGCTGAACAGTGTTACCATCCTTTATGCCAAAGGTCATCTATGCTCAGATCTTTCATAAGCAAATACTTTATCAATCTTAATCTGCTTTTCAAAGGTAGAAACATTTTTATAGTACATGTTTTCTATTTTAAAGCTATGTTTTTTAAAAGTAAAAACAAATGTAAGACAAAGACTTATTTTCTGTTGTTTTTCTTAGCCAATATTTTTCTTTACTTTAGAAATAAAATGTTCAACTTCTTGAAATAAATTTTGTCCTTAGAGATTCCATTAAAAGATGGTTGTCTTTAAAAGTGGCAAAAAGAACTTCTGAGGACAAATAGTCATGCAGGTATAGTCACTGGAAGCAAAAATTATAAAGGCAAATCTATTCGTTTTGTTTTTTAAAAAAAGTTCCACTTACATATGCAGATAAATGAACTGTGCAGTAAGCAAATGAAAACTTAGATTCGTATTTTCCTAGTTATCTTCCTCCTACTCTCATAAGTTTTCCAAATTGAAAGCAATTAATCTGTTTCTCTTATCGAAGTCTAACAGTTCTCTTTCTGAAACAGTAGTCATTGTCATCTTGCTTTAAAATACACCTTTTTTAAATCAAATGAAAACATTTTAAAGATTATAATTTAACATTTTAAGGAATGATTAGAATAAAAGGCATTACCTAATCATATCTTTTCCTTAACCATCTCTTGAGGATCTTTGTCTAATTAATGTTGAGCAAAACTTACATTAATATTCTATTAATATTTTAAATAGTCAAAAGAAAAAAAAAGTCTCATGCAGATAGTTTCTAGTCTATGAACCAAAGGAAATTGAAGAACTGAATCACAATTAAATATCTTTGGTCAGTGCAGAAAACTTTGATGATGTCACTGGCCCCAAATCATCATTTTCTTCCTTTAATTAGCCACTTAACTTCGTTCAACAACTGACATTTTTTAGACACAGGGAAGATAGATGACTTACAGAATACAGTCAGGTTATGATCCAGTCCTCTAGCTAAAACTGTAGTGCTGTCACTCCTAACCTTCAACCTGGGTAACCTAGCTTTGGCCCACACTGTAGCAGTTATTAATGAGGAGAGAAGGAAAGGGGAAATAAGCCTGCAGTCATTAAAGTTCATTGCTATATCTAATTATTATTTCAATGGCATTATTAGTAGAAATCTTGTCAAATATTCCATATTTTACACCTTGAATCAAGTTGTTGTCCCAATTTCTACTCCAGAATAAAGACGTTTGTAGTTCTGAGAGAGTTGCAAGTAATAAATGGCTGTGAGTAAATCAAGAAAAATTGAAAGATGTCAATATGAAAAAGGTAGCATTTCAATTGACTTGTATTTAAATATACATATCAAATCAAATAAAAATCAAATGTTATTATTTTCTCTTTTAAACAACTTTTAGATTTTTATTTCTTATGTTAAATGCAATAACATAATATTTCAAAAACACAAATTATAAAGAGGGAAGTACAATTTACCTGCAATTTCACTACTCAAAATAACACACACAAAGGATTAGGGTACAATCTTCCATGTAATTCTCTCTCACATCATCTCTCTCTGTTCATATATAGTCACTGATTTATAAAATGGTCTCTTTGAGTTGCACATCTCTCTACATCTCTATTATTGATGAATATATACATTGAGAGTTGCCAGTGCAATCCATTTAATTAGAAACAATTTCAGTGACTGACTCCAATTGGAAATGGTGGTGTGTGATCATTACAGGAAATGAACTGTTTCTACATAAAAAAGATATGAATCGTGAGGAACTATTATGGACTCTCCTGAATAAAAAGTTTGATTTCCAGAGGCCCTCCAACACTGGTGAGTTAAGAATGAAGTCAAGATTTTGCTATTAAACAATCTATTCTATCTTCAGACCTGCTCTTTCATTTCTACTGGGGAATGTAGCTCAGTGGTAGAGTGCTTGCCTAGCATGTACAGGCCCTAATGTGTCAAAAAAGTTAACAATTAAAATAATAATAATAATAATAATAATAATAATAATAATAATGACAATAATAATAAAGATCCCTCATATCCCTACACTGAAGGCTTAAATGTTGTTGTTGTTTCATATTTATGCTGATAGCCATGGAGTTATTATTCTGCTATATTTGAAGGTCCTAAATGGAATTGCAATTTGGAAAGTGGCTGGCTTGGAGACTATGAATTAGGAACTGATGGTACATTAACTGAGATTGTTTTCCTTTGAAGTAAAGGGGAATCTTATTTACAAATATGCACCAAACTGCTCTCCAAGAAATTATTGAGATTTTGTCAGAAATTTAGCAAGTCTAGAAAATGTCACAATACAACAATGTGGTATCCTCTCATACAACATCTGCAGTAGCCTTTTTTTTTTAAGGTTTGTATATATAGGACAAAATATTAGCTAAAAGAATACTTTAGGGCTGGGGATATAGCTTAGTAGAGCATTTGCCTAGCATGTTCAAGGCTTTAGGTTTCATCTCTACTGCAAAAACAAAGGAAAAAAAGGCCTTAATTAATACTTTTTAATAAAGCAAGATTTTAAAGTTAGAAGTAAGGTATTCCCATTGGAGAAAATTAACAAAATTACAAAAAAAAAAATTATTTTGAAATTATAAAATCTGGAGAGTTACTGTTAGTATTTTGGGTGAATTTTCTTTCCCAAAGAAATTATTTACATGTAGAATTTGTATTTGCTCTTTTGATTTTTTCATTTAATATTTTCCATGTCAGTAAAATTATAGGAATTTATTATAAAATAGTCAACGATGTAACTATTGATCTATGTTAGAAAATTTTGTGCTTAATGTTGGAAAGAGATATTTTCTCATGACTTAACTGATTGAACTTTAATATTATGGGTATTGAAAAATACATTGAGTTTTTATATTAGGAATTCGTGGGTAACCTCAAATCATATGAAAAAGACCTTTGCCTTCCATGTAAGATTTTGAATGTGTGTCTTGAAGTGATTAAATATTTATTGCAGTGTCCATTTTTCATATGACAATTTTTTTTTTACAGATTTAGAACTGGCTAACAATTTGGAAGAACATAACCAGGTGAGAATATGTAATACTTAAACATTCAATTTTAATAACAATTATAAAACAATTTTTTGTCACATAATATTTTTTTAAAAAAATTATTACTACTAGCCAGGTGCGGTGGTGCACACCTATAATCCCAGCGGCTTTGGGGGTCTGAGACAGAAGAATCACCAGTTCAAAGCCAGCCTCAGCAAAAATGAGGTCCTAAGTAACTCAGGGAGATCCTGTCTCTAAGTAAAATACAAAGTAGGGTTGGAAGATGTGGCTCAGTGGTAAAGTGCTCCTGAGTTCAATCTCCAGTAATGGCCCGCCCCTGGAAAAATTATTAATACTGTATTGTGAAACATTGTTCTGGCTGGAGAAAGAGTGAAACCAATATTTTTTAGGAATTGGTATACTATACAACACAAAACAATTAAAGTACACTATACAGCACAAAACAAAACTATGGCTGTATGATCTTAAGTATAAAATGTTTAGAAATCTAGATTGTAGTTTTAGCTCTCTAGTTACCCAAATATGAGAACTTGGGCCAACTAAAATTCTCTAGAAATCTCATCTGTAAAATAGGAGGCTAGAAATTGGTGTTTCTTCCAGTTATTATTTTTGAACCATGGGAAATTTTTTCCCCCAACAAAATGTTGTGTGTTCTGTCTATGAAATATCTAAGAATGGAGCTACTGTAATTTAGGCAGATGGCTTGGAGAGCCTGCAGTGTGGACTTCTTGAAAGGGAGCCTCCTATCAACCTCATCTTCTCCACTCCTTGGCATTTTATGAAGATGGTTTGAAAATCATTGAATTGCATGATTTCTAAACTCTCTTGAATACAATTGGATGCTATTCCATTATTCTGTGAACTGTGTTGTCCTTGAGGAGAGAGAATTATGCCCATCATTCTCTTCCCAGCAGCAAGGATGTGGAGACATGAGTTGGTCCAGGCTGAACCCTATTTTGGTAGTTGTGTCTTCAGGGGTTAGGCAACTGGCAAGCTTGTTGAAAATTCAGACAAGTGGAATTTTGGATTGGAACCTTAGATTCTCAAAATATTTCTCCCTTCCTGTGAGAAAAGGACAAAGATTTCAGGAAATCCAGACTTTCCTATAACTATTTGGAACTCCTTGAAAGGACTTCTCATTATAGGTGACATAAAATCAAGTACAACTACCCAGACTATATTTCCCCATGAATTGACACCCAGAGTTGTCTTCTTTCACCAAAGCTCTATTTCTCTGCATTCCTACCTGAGTCATGTACCTTTTTCAGACAGCCTCTAAATGCAAGTTTCCCAATGTTTTTTTGAAGGGGAGTGGGAATTGAGCCCAGGGATGCTTTATTACTGAACCACATCCCCGAAGCTTTTTCTTTCTTGTTTTGAGACAGGGTCTTGCTAATTTTCCCTCTTGTGATCCTCCTCCCTCAGCATCCCATGTCTTTGGGATTACAGGCATGCACCCCCACACCTAGCTCCTATTTTTTTCACGCGTTATCTTTTTGCTTATTTCCTCTTATTCCTTTCCTCTTTTTCTCTCTCTTCTTTTCTTCCATCTTTCTTTCTATTTCTTGCTTTTGTTCTTTCTTTTTCTTCAATGGAGACTACAGTGGTGGTCATTAAAGGCTAATTAATTATCTTTAAAAAACCTTAACAGCTAGAAAAACTCAAAGAACAGCTTATGGGGGCAAAAGATACTGAGCTGTCCTATGCTATAGATGGTCTATCCTCTTCCCATCCTATCAAACGAGGTAAGCTTTTATTTGAAAGTTTTGTAACTGACTTGTAAACTGTTATTTTCATAATTAATTCTGAGATGGAAAAGATTAAGTGGATATTTTTTAATCTGATGGTAGTTATCAAGATCAAGACTCATAGTTTTGAAAAGCAATTCTAATGAGAGTGTTCCCCTGGAATGAATCTGAGCTCTGTAATGGTTGGACGGTCATACTTACCAGGTTTCAGTGAAAAAGGTCCCTAATGCTTAAAACTTCTGGTTTACTGTTGCTATTTTGGCCTAAAAATCGATCCCAGGTGGTTAAAAAATAAAGGTAGTTCAATTTTCAGTTAATTCATATCTTCAGACCTTTTTCCTTTATGTGAGGGGAACCCCACTGCTGTAACACTTGCTCTGAACTCCAATGTTTATTCATAACAGTTAAACTTACCCAGATTCTTTTGCATCACTCTAAATTTTCATAGTTTTTCCAGGAAATTCTTGATTTTGCTGACTCAGTTCTTATTATTGAAAAAATTAAATGTACTCTGTCTATCCCCATCCATTATTGATGTGAAATTTCTTAGGGTACATATATTTTTACTTGTCTCCTTATTCCAGATGTGAATTTAAATTTCATAAAAATATCTTTTTATAATACTACTAAAAGGAAGGAGGATAAACTAGTATCTAAGAACTTAGCATATATCAGAAGTTTTATATTTTCCAAAATAGACTAGGCATTAGCAAGACAGTCAGCAAGACACACTGGTAAATGTGTGCAAGTTTTTTTTTTTCTGAGTTTACATGAAGTCTTACCTATGTTAGTCATATTCCCTTCACTTTGTGCCTATTGTGTAGAACACATGGTGTCCACACAGCAGAATAGAAAAGGAAGGAAGTAAACATGCTCTTAATTGTAGGAACTAAGTCCATGATCCAATTCTAACTTTATGAGATTGGGGGCACCTGGGAAATGTAGAGAAACACAAAGAATAGTTGGAAAGTTCCATCCCTATCTTGAAGAGCTCTGCCTCCACACAGTCAGTCCTTTGTTATCTTCTTAAAAACATAGATCCCCCTCATCCACTCCCATTAGAGACAATTCCAAATGCTTTTCACTGGGGCCACAAAGCACTAAGAACAGGCATTGGGTGTGGTGACTAGTCTTCACTAAACACAACATGTCTACACTTTATTTACGGACATTTTAAACTAAAAAGACAAGTTATCCACCCCATGCAAACCCAATAATTGGCAGAGGAACAGGGAAAGTATAACCACATTCAATAATCTCATTCATAAAGGAGGACAGGAGATAAACACTGACTGGAATGGTGGCTTCCTGCAATTTGGAAATATCTTGGGGCAAGTATTGTGAAGGACCCTGCCCTGAGGATGGAGAACGGTTTCTTGATTAGGGCTTGGTGGTTCTCAGGAGAGTTCCTTTGATGGTTGTTTAGTTTCCGTTGGCTCCATCTTTTTTGAAGTTTTGGTTTTTCCATTAATATCCCTGAATGCATGTCTCACTAGATGGAATATTCCTTCTTGTGAATAGCATGCTTTTTTGGGGTCTTTTCAAACTCTTACAAGGTTAGAAGTATGAGCTTTGTTTCAAAGGGCCAAAGACATTTTTGTTTCTAAGGTTTATGACTTTTTTTTCAATGACACTTTTCACAAACTTAGAAAGCTTTTCCACTGTTTTCTACATAACATATCATATCTTTGAACTATTATAATTTTTTGCATTCTTACCCCAACTTAATAGCAGCTGCCTTGAAGGTGTCTGGAATAACCCTTAAACACTGCATACTTAGTCTGTGTGTCCACCCCTAACCCCCAGCTCTTTATTCCAACTGATATTTCCTGAATCTGTCACTTGAATTATTTTAAAATTTCCTTTCATAGTGCTTGGGATCTAGAAGCTGTTGGCTATTTTTATCATCTCAAGACTCTGTACTTCTAATCTCTCTTTGATCCAATTTTATTTGTTGACAAAGATACCAGTTCCTTCCTAAACTCATCAATCTCTTGCTAATTTTTGCTAAATGAATCCCCAAATAACCAAACATATTTCTTATTTTTCTATTTTCCAAACTTTTTGTCTAGAAGATCAAGAGATGAATGATTTGAATTCCAAGCTATTACATATGCCAGCTTTACCACATATTTGACTGCTTTGTGAAATGGCTCTTAATTTTTCCAAAACATAATATCAGTTTCATTTTCTGCCATTAGTGAGTTGCTGAGACTGTGTCATATTTTATATATTTCTTGGAGAAGCATCCTACTTTGAGTTACAATTTGTATATTGGAATATATTACATTAACAAAATATCCTTAAAATAAAGAGGTGCGATGTCCTCTAAGTTTTTTTTTTCTAATTTTACATGAAGTCTTGCCTCTGTTCATCATATTCCCTCCACTTTGTGCCTATTGTGTGGAACACATGGTGTCTTGTGTCTACACAGCAGAATAGAAGAGGAAAGAAGTAAACATACTTTTAATAGTAGGAACTAAGTCTATGTTCCAAATCTAACTTTATGAGATTGGGGCACCTTGGAAATATAGGGGAAAGAAAAAGAAATAGTTGGAATGTTCCATCCCTATCACAGACATTTTGGGCTTATTATGTCATGTGTAACTAAATTGCCTTAGTAGTAATTTGAGGAGATCATTGGATATAGGAATTTGGAATTTAGGAAATTAACCCAGATTGGAGATTTAAATTTGGTATTTATTAGCATTTCCATATTGGGCATTGTGATGAGACTACTGAGAAAGTGATTCCAGATATAGAGAGAACATATGTTTAAAGGCCGAGGTCTAGGTGTCTCCAAATTTAGAGATTGGACAGATAAAAGGGAATTAGTTGAAGTGACTGAGTAGGAGTAATCACCACAGAAGGAGGCAACAAAGAAAATGTGCCCAGAAGTCAAGTAAGAAGGGGTTTCCAGAAAGGACACTAAAGCTATGATAGATACAATAAGAACTGATACCTTCCAGCTCAATTTGGCACCAAAAGAATGTCAATGACTTTGAAAATAATTGGTAAACTTTTGGTTAAAGAAATCATGATTAATAAACTAGAATCACTGACAACAGACAATACTTTTTAGGAATTTTGTCATAAAGGGTAGAAAAAATTGGGAGATTAGCTAGAATTACTTGTTTGAGAGCGTCAAGAAGCTTTTTTGTTTTTTCATTTTTATGCAAGGCGTATTAAAACATATTTGTGTGTCATAGTAAATAAGTAAATGTTTGTGGTGATGAATGTATGAAATAACGTCACAAAAACTTAGCCCACATTATGTGCAAAGTGAGTATTATTGGCATAAGTAGAAACTGACTACCACATAAAACAATATGCGAATGTGAAATGGACCTAGAAATCCAGGTTTCGGCAGTAGGAATGTACACTTGCTGTGATATATTCTAACTTTTAAAATTGTTTAATATATAGTTAATGGATAACTGTTAAAAACATAGTCCTGTAATACCAAGCATAGCATTAATAACGGGAAATTGAATGAGATATCAGGGGACACCAGGATGAGGGCTGGAGTCTTACTTCATGTAAATGATAAATGATTGTAATCATTGGTGAGTTGGCTCTATGGCAATACCCCCCTCATGAGCAATTCCTTTCAACTAGGTCCAAAATTTCTCAAAATTGTATTGCATTACATATGTAGTTGAACTGCTTATGTGGTACAAGTATGTCTTGGCTAAGTGTAGTTTTATATTTTTCTGCCAGATAGAGATATTCAGAGATCTCTGAAAGGACAGAGAGCACAGTGATGATAACTTTCCAAGGCATACTATAAAAAGAAAATTGGATTTCTGGGCCAAGCTCCTCAGTTTCATGTCTGAAAATAGACTTCTGCTTTCACAGGGGTTTGAGTTTAGTTTTGTTTAAAGAAAGCTGTGGATCTTGTAGAAATGAGAAGTATACTCTTAGTATTATGCCATACACTATGTATATGTGGTGCCAAGCACAGGTGTTTTTAGAGTTTAGTTGGGGAAGGAAAGCTGGGCAAGCAGATAGAGTTTAATCATTTATTTCAGAGAGTGGCTAAATTATACTATGGGTTTTTAAACTCTTTTTTATTGTGCATCCCATTATTTCTGAACCAAAGACTCATCTCTCAAAGGTTTTATACACATTTAGATAGAAGAAACAAAAGAAATTTATAATTAGCTAGATGAACCTACTGTAAGAAACATAATAGATCAGGAATAGCCCATGGAAGACTTAAAATGATTTATTTGCATAATTAAGGATTAAAATGATGCTAAATTTTATTTGATTATTCTGAAGCGCCATTTTATGATCACAATTTGAAGGCTCAGTGTGATAAAGATTGAATTTACTTAAATATCACTTGGTGGTTTGCAATGCGATGTTGAAACTCTTTCTTCCTCTTTTCTCAATAAATAAAAGCAAATTTAGAACTGTGTTTTACTTATGTGACTTCCTCTTTGAGACTTCAATTACATAAAAGAGTGAATTTAACAGGTCAGCCTACTATGTTCTCTGGATTGAATTACATGCCTTGTAATGTATAACAGTTATGTCTAATAGAACTTTCTGTGATGGGACCATTCTCTAATTTGCACTATCATTCTGGTAGACAATGGCTTTGAGTCACTCACTACCAAGTGCTTGACATGCAGCTGGTGTAATAGAGAAGCTGACTTGTTAGTTATTTAATTTTAATTAATTTAAAGATCCACATAAAGCTAGATCCACATAAAGCTACTATATTGGACATGCTTTTCACAAAGCAGTCCCTCCTACTTTCTGAAGTACACACATTTTATTAAAATATAAGGTTTCATAAAATACCCTTCTAATAAAAAATATTTTTTTTCTTTAGCTTGCTTTTGGAAATACTGTGTCTAAAGCTTTTTCTATGGATGCAAAAAAGATAAGAATGGCAGACAAAGATCTATCTATATGTCTATATACAAAATCTCTACTGCTTAAAGATTGCAACTGTTTCAAACATAAGGAAGCTGTGGCATTTATTCTGCACATTATTTTTCTCACTTTGTTACTAAGTGGGTTCCAATGTACTTAATGTTTATGTTGTGAATATGACAAATCACTTGCATTGGTGAATTGCATGTGACTATTAAAATGACTTTTGAGCTGAAGTTGAAATTGCTGTATCTATTTATGTTTTCATAAATTCATTGCTTATAGTTTTGTCTTATGATGACTGCAGTTAAAATATTTTAAAAAGCATCTTGGAAAATTAAAATAAATTATATTGTCTCAATTTATGTGGAAAATATGAATTATTATTTTTTTTTATGATTGTGTTGGCCACTCTTTCTTTTCTGCTAATTTGAACAATTGTCACCATAACTATTGAAAAAAAAACATATATTACTGACAAGCAGAAATGTATTATTTATTGGACTCTTGGAGAAGTAGTGCTGGATGTCTCTTACAATAAAATGTAAGAAAACTTTCTTACAAAACATTATGTCTATTAATTTTCAGCTCTGTTTCCCCTACAACATTAAAAATCCATTTGAGACTCCCAGCATGCCTGTAAGAGGATAGACCTAGTGTGATAAAAACCACCAACCAAAAACCAAAGAGCTTCTTGGTTTTCCTTTGTTACGTTTTTGTTTCACACTTATTTTTTTCTTTTTTTCTTTCTTCTCCTTCTTTTTTGGTACTGGGGATTGAAGCCAGGGCCTTATGCATGCTAGGCAAGCACTCTACCACTGAGCTACACCCTCAGGCCTTATTTCCTATCTATTCATCAGGCTAGTTATGCTTACATCTGAGCAAGCTTATTTAACCAATCCAAGGTTGGAAATTTAGCCTGAATTCTGTCTGCCACCCATACTGGAACAGAGGTATTATCAAAGAAACTTTATAGCTAAAGAATTTAAACGACTTGACTAGTATGTGGTAGCTGACCAGATGAGCTCACACACATTCCCTTACTTTATCATGTGAGGAAGAAATGGATTTTTATCTAATCATGTGTGGTTCTTAAAGATAAAATCTCAAAAGATGACATGAACAGTATTTCTTAAACCCCTCAAAGTAAAACAGTACATAGAACAGACTAATTTTAGCAAGTTGCCTATAATGATACCAATATACTTGCTTAGAAACCATTCAAGTGTACATTAATAAATATTAGTGGCACAGTAATGCCTGAAGATGTTTTTTTTTTACCAAAAGAAAGATGAAAAATTCTTTTATCATCTCATGGTTATTAACTTTGGAAAAGCTGAACAATATTTAAGCATCTTAAATCTTTGGGTATAAGGAAATAGTGACATTCACAAAGTTTTTGATGCCTCTTCTTTTTAGAAGATTTTATTATTTTTTTTCAATAATTTCTTTAAGAAATTTAATTCCCTGAAGATATCTATAGACTAAACGTACAATTGACAGCCTTTTTGTAGTGTAAATTTTAAGATAATATAGCCAGGAATCAATGTCCTCTCATAAAAAGTTGGTTATGTAATTGCACCAGCAGGCAGAAATCCATGTTCACATATTCATTTGCATTATGAAACACTGCATGGGGGCAAGGAGTTAAAAAGGTAACATATTATTTTAAAACTAAACAATCCTTCACATTTGTGGCTTTCCAAGGAAATGTAGTTAGATTTAGTAATAAGCAAGTCCACTGAACAGAGAAATGAAATGAGTTTCATGTTCTTAACTGAAAGTGATGTCTTAATTTATAGTTATATTAGAAGATGATCCTATTTAAAACTATGATATTGCTGACTTATTTTCTATTTTGTCTGAAGTGATAAAAATTAAAATATGAAAACGAAATTATAGATGGGGAAAACATTTTTTCTTCTTAAAAGTTTTGTGTATATTAGACAGGCATTGCATATCAAAATAAACATCAATGAATAGATTGTGGTGTCATATTTTATTTAAATTGGATGTCATAACCCAATCTTGAATTAAAAATATTATGTAGAAATCTATTTGTGAAACGCAACTTCAAATCTTTCCCATAAGAAATATTTCAGCTGAAGTCGTTTTTAATACCATTGGTCAAAGCACAAAGTAGCACCTAGTTGCTTTAGATGCTTACAAATATTCAAATGGGATTAAATGGAAAGAAAGAACTTCCCAGGAATAGGGAACAATTCCATAGTTCATCAGAAGGCTGGGGAAAGTAGATAGGAGAAATCATTATTTATTTTAATTAATTTTATTGGCTCTCTTTAGTTATACATGACAACAGGATGCATTTTCACATAATTATGGAAGCATGGTATATAATTTGTTCTAATTCAGTTCCCAATACTTCCTCTTCCTTCCCCCTCCTTCTTTCCCCTGTTCCCTTTTTTCTAATCTACTGATCTTTCTGCTATTTACTTAGTCTTTCTTTTTTTAATTATTGTCTGATGGATGTATCTGATGATAAAATTCACTGTGGTCTATTCATATATTTATAAAGGAAAGTTATGTCAGATTCATTCCACTGTCATTCTATATCCCATCCTTACTCCCTTTCTTTCATTCCTCTTTGTCTATTCTACTTATCTTTCTTCTAATCTTTTTTAAACCCATCCCCTTATTTTGGATTAGCTTCTATATATACATAATGGAGTATTACTCAGCTATAAAGAATGACTTTATGGCATTTGTTGATAAGTGGATGAAACTGGAAACTATCACACCAAGTGAAATAGACCAGTCTACAAAAGTCAAAAGTTGCATATTTTCTGTGATCTGTAGTAACCATTACTTCTTAAATAATCCCTTCAAACTTTGAGGCCTGTAGAATATTTACCCATGTGCTACTTATACCTAAAACAAGAACTAGCTAAATAGCTAAAACAAGTATGAAGAACATAATTGGTTATCTTTCTCAAAATTAATTTCTCTTTACTGTAGCACTCTATTACAAATAAAAGAAACACTCATTTACTGTTTTCCCTACACTTTGAAGATTTTTCAGCAATTTGAAAATTTCCAGAAAAACTGAGAAGTTTTATACAAAACAGCTATGTGTTCTAAGTATCCATCATTATTTCTTTTACCTCTTTTCAGATCTTCTAAATTGGGTTTCTAAAAAGCATGTTGCATAACTAAAAATTTAATTTTCTTTTTAACTTAGGCCAATCATCCATTCAGTTCTTTTCTAGTGCATTTTTGTCACCATGCTATTACTTTGAGTTTATTTTGCTCTGTGTACCATACAAGTATATTAGGTCTGTTGGATGATGAGTTTTGCGAGAGTTTAAAGGAATAGTGTTCTACAGATGCTTTACACAGTTCTGTCAAATTACTCATGCTGAATCTCTGTTCCATGTTATTTTTGTATTTTGAAAGTATCTCCAGCACACAATGCTTATACACCTAAACTGCAGTAACATCACACTTTTTACTGAGAACTGAACTTTCGAAAGTGCAAACTCTTATGCCTTGATAGGTCAATTAAAAATAATCTGCCTCATTTTAAATACACCACTTCCAAATACATTACGCTCTTCAATGCCTTATTAAGCACAGTGTCTGAACTAGGGTAAATAATTTCCTAGATGAGTCAATACTTCTAAAAAAGATTTGCCATTGTTCTATACTGAAATGTTCTGTGCTGTGCTGGCCCTGGTCTGGGTGGTGGTTTACTGCTTACTGATTCTTTAACTTCCTGTCTACTTTCATCTGTTACTTTTGTGTGTAGTTTTTCCCCTCATAATGAACCACTGCTGCTGTTTATTAGCTATCAGTTAAAATTTAGAGACAATTTGGGGAATAAGAAATATAAAAGTTTAACAAATGAGTAATATCCTTAACTCTAACACAACTCTGGCTTTACAGCTCACTGGGACTGTGTTTTATTTGGTTAAAGTGGACAAAACTTGAATATGATAAAAGTAATAATAATTATTATTATTATATAATTATATAATAATAATAATAATTATTATTATTATTACCAACAAGTTTATGGACAAAGAAAAAGAGACAGGTGAATGTACTCCAGCGAAAATACACATCATGGCCTTTCCTTACTACCCAATAATGAACAAACAGATTTTATCTAGTTTTAAGACTCAAATATCTCTCATTACTATTCTTTAACTGAAAAAAAAAGAAGAAGAAGAAGAATTGTACATGCTTATAGAAGGTATTTCTCTTTATATCATGCTTTTTGAATGTGATTAAAAAATGAGGTCTGGCGAGCAGGTAACCATGCCTGAATAATTAACATACATATTTAAAATATACATGCATTGAAGTGATCTGCATAATGTAATGAAACCAAAACAATACTGTGACGTGATGGACTGAAGTTCAAGGTTTGGAAAAGATTTGCAGAAGGCCAGTTCCTTAAAATTTTATGCTTAAGGAGTATGAAGAACTTCATGGAAGCATCTTCCACATTTCTGTGTCATTTCACCCAAGGAAGTTGCATCTGAAAAAAATGAAAGTTGAAATTGCTAAAACTAATGAGATAGATCAGGTGAAAATCCATCAACTTTAATAAAGATGAGCTAAACCTCTAATTATATGATATTTCATAGTTTTTATATATATGGCATATTTTTATTTTGAAAATAATGCAAAATAATAGTTTTGGATCAAAATGCATTAAAGAACATTTTAAAAAATGTATATGTTCTAGGTGTTTGTGCTCATGTATTAATAAAATTTATAAAAAGTTTCTGTTAAAACACCTTTCTTCATATATCTACTGTATTCTGTTTCACTTGAACTTTCAATCTTGGCTCAAAGGATGCTCTTCCGACAAACCAAAGACAGATAAAGAAAAGCTGACTACAACTTTCTGTTTATTGTTAGCTAACATATCAATAATTGCTATCTATTTTGCTCTTGTTAAAAGGATCCCAACATACACTGTCATTTATGTATGATCTTCCTGCTATACTTGAGAGTTATATTAATTTATTTAAATGATAGTTATCAAAATTTTTCTAAAATAAAAATTGTCATGGGCTGGGGTGGTGGCTCAGCAATAGAGTGCTCACCTAGCATGTGCAAGGCCCTGGGTTTGATCCTCAGCACCACATAAAAAAATAAATAAAAGTATGAAAAATTATATAAAAATTATTTAAAAATTGTCATTATAAACCAAACATATTCATCACATTATTAAAATAATAGCCTTAATGCAGGCATCTTAATTGTCATATTGCTAATTTCATCAGGTAGGTATCCTGATTTTAATGGCAGAGGTACAGAACTTGCTAATTACATCTAGAGAAGCTATGATACCTGAGACAGAATACCTCTTAAAATCTGTATTGCTTAGAACTAAGGCCCATTTAAAAACTCAAAACTTTGGTACAATGTATTAATAATTTGAGAAAGACATTGTGAAAATATTAGATTATCTTTTTTTCTAAAACACAGAGGAGATTGCTATCAGTTTGGAAACTAGGTAGTGCATAGCAGCTGTGTCTAGACTTGACCTCAAACCAAGCAAAACTTCCATGATTAGGTACCAGTTTCACTTTTGGTGTGAAGACTTAAAATGAAACCCAGAAGGTGAAAACCCACAACTAAACATGCTTCAAAAGATAATATTTCAACCCTCACAGAAATGAAACAAAGATTTTCAGAATGTCTAAGATCTTGTTTCTCTTTATTTTAGAAAGTATAACCAGTGAAGTTAACATTCAACAATGACAATTTAGCACCAAGAAGACCTGATGGTCCATGAAGAGAATGTTGGCCTAGAAGGCCAAACCTGAGTTTTAGATCTTGCTTTGGCCAAGAGTCTGTAAATGTTTGGGTAAATCAATTTCCTCTCATAGCACCTGTTTCCTGAATTGCTTTAAAAACTGGAATTGGATTAAAAAACTCTAAGTTTCTGGATATCCAACTACTTAGCTGTTTGACTATAGGAACGTTATTTAATGACTTGTTATCTAATAAATGAGTTGCATGTTATATCACAATATCACATGCTTTTTTCAAAGGCATGTAGTCACAATAGGAAGAAAGAGTTCAAAAATAACCTTGAAAATTTGAATGGATATAAATATCATTTTATGGGTTCTGTTATTCATATAAAACACAAAACTTCACATGAGGACGTAAAAAATCTTGGGGATATTTGTGGGACTATAAACAACAATTAAGAAGGTGAATTCACAATGATTGACAAAAGGGAAAGAGAAAATACATGATATTAAGTTCTTTTCTAAACCAGTCTTTCATGATATTACTGTCTTAAGATTTTAAAGATTAAAAAAAGCAATTTTCAAGATGCTAAACAAGATTTGTTAAGAGAAGGATAAAATTTACTAATTTGGATTGCACCCAATAGTGATTCAGGAAAGATTATATTAATTCAACTCTGTAGATTAAGAGTAATCCAGAATTTCTATGGCCTGGAATTTCATATAAGTATTTATATGAACATGTATTTCCTGTGCAGTTTGTTTATCATACTTGTTTTGGTTTAACTCAGAAATTTAAAAATGGGTAACGATCAAGGATGGCAAGTTGATTGGATTTAATTGTTTTAATCTAGTGCCATTCAATTAATACATTAAGAAACTGGAGGACATGGGCCCTATTCCATGAGTTACTTGGTTTTTAATAGCAATTAGCTACTTCCTACTTTAATGTGGTGATTTTTAACAACTCGTAAGAGTGTACTTGGTATATTCTAGATGTGAAGAAAAAGTTCATTCTGAGTTTTGAAGATAGTGCAGTTCAAAAGGTAATAGGAAGGGGAAGGGATATGGGGGTAGGAATTATAGTAGAAAGAATCAGACATTATTATCTTATGTACATTCGTGATTACACCACTGGTGTGATTCTACAACATGTACAATCAGAAAAATGAGAAGTTATACTCCATTTATGTATGATGTGACAAAATGTATACTATACTGTCATATATAACTAATTAGAACAAATAAAAATAGGTAGTATTCAATAAATGGTTATATTTATGGGCATTCAGTAACTGTAGAACATCATTAATCAACAAATACCCAGTGGACAAAATTTATTTTAATTAAGTCATTCTGATAAAAAATATGTACTTCTTATTGTGACTGTAAAGCATTTGAGGAGAAGGAAAATTGGGTCATTTAAATTAAGGGGGGAATGGGCAAAACCCATGCTTTTGGAGACTCTGCATTATTGATCTGAGGATTATTGTAAGAGAAACAGGAAACAGAATTACCTCTTTGTTAGCTTGAAACTGATAAGGTAGTTATAGGTTGTCTTAAATGTTTGGGAGAAAGGATAAACCTGCGTAAGCCATATTGAGAGAAAATATATTGCCTAGATTTCATATTCAAAAATATTTAGTTTTTAAAACACAATGTATATGATTAAATAAAGTGTTTGACATATAAAATCAGGATTTAAGTTTCCTGGATTTTAATTCTATCTGCATGTATTACCATATGGCATTGTGATTTAATTAATATATCTAAACTTTCTACTTGCTTATATAATAATGATAATAATAATAATAATCATACACCTTATTAAATACTTATATGTTAGGCACTACCCTAAGTGCTTAATATGCATCCATTCATTTTTATCCTTAGGAAAATACTATGTGTTAGAAATTGTTATTATACTAATTTTATAAAGTAAGATTTAAGAATTTAAGGTCGGTCCTACAGCTAACAGGTAGATGACCTAGGATTTGAAACTAGAAAACCTGATGTCCCTTGCTGGCACCTTTATTCCATTTTCTGCACTGCTTCTCAAGATACTGGAGATAGAAATAGTTCTACTTTAAGGGACAGAATGATTCAATGAAGAAATGCATGTGAAGCACTAAGTGTAGGGCTCAACACAGAGTATATTTTCAGAATGGTAATGTAAATTGTTGTTAATCGCAAGTATTGTGTGTGCAACATGTTCTAGATTTACTACAAAGATCTGATTTAATCTTCACAATGACACTATACTAGTTTAACATAAAAGACATATAAAAATAAGGTATACTGACAGAAACAAGATAATGAATGACAACCAGGATTTGAATAGGGTATTTTGATTCCATGACTTATATTCTTTCTACTATATCATTCTCTCTCCTATGTTCCATATTATCATAATCCTAGTAATATCTTCATTGATAATAATCAATAAAATGTGTGGTCTTTATAACAAAGGGATGACTATACACTTATGCATATTTATGAAGGTGATTTATTGTGTTCATTATAAGTTTAAACCTTTTTCATGTTAATATTTAATAACTACATAGAAATTTGTGAAAATAATATTTTAGGATGAAGAAGATATAAGACATTCCTCTGTTTTCCAAATGTCTATTAAATTGCTTAGCATCAATGTACTAATTGTATACAGAAATGCTTGAAAAAGTGAATATATGAGCTAAGAAATCAAAAAGGTGATTTATAAGCAAGAATGGATTAGTCTATCATGAAATGTTAAATCAAATACTTGCATGCATTGCTACTTAGTCAAATTGTACTCACACTTGAAATCAATTAGCCTCTAGAATTTGAAAGCCGGTTTCTACCAATCCGATCCATGGGGATGCCAAATCGTCTTTTTGGATGAGCTACTACTTTCCTGAAACAAAGAGAATATTTTTAAGCTAAAGTTGCCATTATTAACCATTACTTTTATGCTTCCATTTCATGCAGATCTGGGGGTTTTCTTTGGGAGTTGGAATAAAGAAAATAGTTACATTCACCAGTTACCATTCTCACACTCTGAATGTCTGTGGAAGTGAGTATAACCACATCCATCTTACACACCAGAAACCTGAGCTTAGAGAAGCTAATATATGCAAAGTCAAATAGACAAAGTGAAAAACCAGGTTGTATTGGCATACTGATCTGCTAAGTGGGTAAATCTCTTGACCTCTTCAGATTTTATTCTTCTGTTTATTGAGGAAAACTGAACTGTTCTCTCCAAACTCTGCCTCAGAATAGATCTTTGGGGAAGTATGGTGGTGGGAGAGGAAAGGATGCAGAGAAGAAGGCTGAGTGGAAGGAAGTTTGCCTTTCATGCCTTCATGTAGACTTCACCCAGAAAAACCTTATATGCAGTGGTCTGGGTTGTGTGTATAATCTTGATATTAAATATTGTTTGAAAAATTTAAACAAGCTCCCTATTAAAATGAAGTTTGAAAATATCCACACAGGATTATAAGAGGCCCATTACATCTTTCAGTTTATATGTTCTATACATTGGCTTTTCATTTGGTACATTTATAGTAGTGGGATTCATTGTTACATATTTGTTCATGCAGACAATATTACAATATGATTTGGTCAATTCATTTCCCAGTAACTCCTCTTTTGTTAGCTCTTTTGTTTTATTTTAAAATATTTGCTCTTTAAAAGGAAAACTATATTTAAGCATTTTAATTTTATTTTTTTAGTATCATCATCTATTGCTGTCAAAACAAAATCCTAACATGAGATGCTCAAAAATTAGAATATGTAACTTTCACTTTCTAGCCTTGGAATTAGAGGAGAAACTAGAATTTACTTAATGAAGACAGAGATAGGTGGGATAAACTAAGAAGTCTCTATAAGTGACTTGCCTCTCAGCAAAAGGTTACTAATAAAAGCCAGGCTCCGTGGTGTATGCCTGTAATCCCAGTAGCACTGGAGGCTGAGATAGGAGGGTCATGAGTTAAAAATCAGCCTCAGCAACAGTGAGGCACTAAGCAACTCAGTGAGACCCTGTGTCTAAATAAAATGCAAAATAGGGCTGAGGATGTGGCTCAGTGGTCAAGTGCCCCAGAGTTCAATACCTAGTTATACCCCCTGCAATAGTTACTAATACACATATGGCTTTTGGTTGACTTCAAAGTAGGAATATTATAAATGAATTATATTAGACATGTACAGATATGTACAATAAACACCTAGATCAAAAAAAATCAAAATATTATTAGTGAATACTTTAGGACTGAGAATCTGAAAAGTTATTCCCCAACCAAATGCAAGGTTTTCTGCTTTATATTTTTGCAAATGACTGTAATAATACAGTTTATTGCTTGAAAATCTCAGTGATGTGGCACATATTGCATTATAGTTCAAGTTAATTTTCAACATCTTATTTAAAATATTTATTTTTTTAGTTGTAGTTGGACACAAAACCTTCATTTTATTTATTTTTATGTGTTGCTGAGGATCTAACCCAGGGCCTTGCTCATGCTAGGCAAGCGCTCCACCGCTGAGCCACAACCCCAGCCCAATTTTCATCATCTTAAAGAGTGGGAAAAAAAAGACTTTTGGGGGGAATATTTTCAATAGCTTCTTTAGTTCATTGCTGCTTGCATTATATAGTTAATCTCTACTACATAAGTGCCAAAAATTAATGAAAACCTCAATCATTTTTGAGGTTTTATCCTATAGTCATTCAATTGATTTATACTTTACTATGTCCTTACTATGTATAAGGTTGTTTCTGTGGCTGTCCTGACTTAGATGGATAAGAAATTGCCACAGTCCGGCTGCAGCAAAGTAACCGGGGGGTGACGAGCAACTTGTGTACATTGATACAGCAGGAGTGGGAGCCGTTTATTGTAGGACAGGAGGGGTATATATACATTCCACACAGCTTATCTTAATTAACATAAACTAGATACATCAGTCAACCAATAAGGAATCTCCACACTTAATGGCTTGCTTGGCGTTACTTCACAAACCACTCCCTCTGGCAAAATGCCAGGCGCCATCTTGACTTGTTTATAGACCTTAACAGAAATAGTCTTTGCTTTCAAAAACCTTTAGGCAAGTATTCTCAGAAGTGATGATAATTTAATGCAAATTATAGAGGAAAATCTCTTAGTCTTACTGAGACCAAACTTTTTCTTAATGATGGTCTTGATGGTACTGTGAAGCAAATAATTTATTAAAAAGCTCTGAAAAGCATGGAGAACAAACGAAACATGAGGGACTTTTAAAGTTGTACCTTTCACATAAAAATCTATAAATATCATTTAATTTATTTAAAAGAATTAATTTGTAAGTTATTAATATTTAGTGCCTTCTACATGCCTGATGCTGTGTATTGTGCTATCTATACAAGGATAATAACAACACACAGGGGAGCTGATATGTGATTACCATCAAATAATATTTAGGACTATTATATTTTCATCTAATCTAACTTTGTTTTCTGCTGATTCACATCCATCTTCCATTCTGGGTTGGCTTTTGGTTTTGTTAGCTGCATGACTATATGTATTGTCTTATAAGATTTGTCTTCTAGGAAAAAATTTGGCCAGTTAATTGGGTATGGGAAAATACTTATTGCTCATTTTTACCATTTCTGCATCCCTACCTTCCTTCATTATTTCTGCAAAATATTACTTCTTAAGGTGATGTCTGTTGTTTGCACTTCTGGATTTCTTAATTACAAATTGACTATATATTTGTCAATTTGTTAACCAAATGGGAAATTTGTTATTTATAAAATTAGCTTAAGATGCATGTTTAAGACTTATAAGAAACTAGGCATGTTGGTCATGCTTTCAACCATTTGATACAATTATAAATAATTGCTGTGAAAAGAAAATAATGTCTCTTTTGCATTTTAAACTATCTTTAAGCAGTTGTTTTCTTTGTGGTAGTCAGAAAATCAGCTTTCCACAGATGTCTACATGGTAATCCCCAGAATCTGCAAATATGTCACTTGCACACAGGATTAAGTGTAAGGACCTTGAAATGGGAAGATGATGCTACTGTAGCTGAGTATTTCCAGTCTAGTCACTGAAGTCCTTAAAAGTAGATGATGACTAAAGGAAACTAGGTCAGACAGGAACAGCAAACTGAGAAGGACTGCCCACATTTGCTGGCTTTGAAGAGGAAGGAAAAGCTCATGCATTAAGGAATGATGCATCCCCTAGAAGTTTTGGAAAGGAAACAGGGACTTGAGCAACCATGAGGAACTGAATTCTGCCAACAATTTGAAAGAACAGAAAATAGATTTTCCCTTAGAAACTCTGGGAAAGAGGAACAGCCAATGGATATCTAGATCTCCTCTTTGTCCAGATGGAAGACAATGCAAGAAGGACAGCATAGAGCACTCTGCAGGAGAAACTTTATAGGACACCTCTTGGCTAGCAATGGATTCTATGACTCATATGATCACATGACCATATGACCTAGCTGAAAGAAGCCTGGAAAAAGTCATCCAGCATTATATACATGTTGGGTGGTGAGAATATAATGGAGTCTGATCTACAGAATTTTAAGATGATCAATAATTTTGTTGTAATTTTTTTATCATAGCAATCAAAAACCAAATACATCTCTCTATGTGATGTAGGGCTTATGTCTGAGTGTAATGGGGTTAATATATAGAAAATACTAAGCCGATGTAATTTTCACCCTAAATCCCTTTACTGACTATTCCACCATTGTAACTCCAGGAGACCACCAATAGGGCAAAAGCCACTTCAGGAAGGGAGGGAATGTCCCCAGTAGTCTCTGATAAATAGGAACAGGAAGTGAAAAAACAAACCCTCCCAGGTGTTAAAAGGACTGTCAAAAGGGGAAGGAAATAGCAGCTGGGACAAAGATTCATATGACATGTACACTGATTTCCCAAATCTTCTTTAAGAATAGTGGTCATAAAAAAAACAAATATTTTTACTTTTTAAGAGAAGTGTGATATTCTCATAAATCATATAAATTAGAACAGTACTGTTCCCTACTGCCAATATATTTTTTCAAAAATGAAAGTAAAAGGAATAGAAATAATATTTTTTTCTTTTAGGCTTTACTACAGTTGATCTTTCCTTGAGAGATCAGACTGTGAAAGAAGATTTTATAGTGCTGAAAGCAAAATAAACCTGCTTTTTCCCTCTTTCCCAACTTCCCTCCCTTCCTTTCTTCTTTTCTTCCTTCCTGGATTCCCTTTCCCCCCTAATTTTTCTTCCCTCCCTTTTCCCAGATTTGATCAAAGCAGTATTAGGAACCGGGAAATGGACGGCTTGGGCTCTAATTTGATTGTTTTACTTAGTGCTAATGTGATCCTTTGCACGTCCGTTATTATCAGCTTCCTTTTTTTGATAAAATTTAGATAATACTTGTTGTTTCTATCTTCTGGAGCTGTTTATTCATTTAATATATTTACTTTTTAAGTAATAGTCAGTTGCATTTGGATTTATTCTATGCACGGGGATACAGTGGTGAATAAGACATGCTACCTCTCAGAGTTCACAATTCACCTTGAAAAGACCTAATGAGTTAACGCACGTGAAAACATTTTGTACTTTCCAACTGATATTATTCTTTTCTACCAGTCTAATCCAGTGATTTTCAAACTATTTATAGCCTACCTTTATAAACACAAACACTTTTTTAAAAAGAGCAATATCTAAAGTGTTAGGTGAATTGTGTCAGTAAGTTACCTCTCCTTGTCCATATATAGTGACCACTGAAAGAGCTTCCAGAAATGCTTAAGCCTCCTTAGAGCAGAGGAAGTAGCCAAGTGGGTAAAGTAGAGACTAACAATGGATACATAAGTACTTGATTTATTTTATCAAACTTAGGATTGGTTGAAAATGCTCAAAGGTATATAGAAAATAAATTTTAAAATTAAGC